GGGGCAGAATTACCCCCTCAGTGCCACTGCCCCACAGTGACAAGGTGTCAGTGCAGGGCCATCAGCTGGGGACACTCAGCTCTGCCTTAGAGTGACATGTCATATGCTGGGATCATATGGTTCCTCTTGTGTCAAGTGACTCAAAAAAGCAGGGCACTAAAGTTCTTTGGCAATGCTAAAAGCAAAACTCAAGGAAAAAAATTCTCCTTCCCTTACTCCATAAAAGTTCAACATTGTGCACATAATCTAAATTTTTTTTGAAATGCTGAAGGCTGTCTGGATTTTAAGTGTTTTATGCTGTGTGCAGGGATCTCCTGTGTCTAAAATAGATGACACACTTCAGAGGGGAGCCTTTGGTCTTTCCAGACAAGAGACACAAGACACACAGCTGAACCCTGCTATTGTTGGAGGCTGGCTGTAGGAAAAGCAACTGCAAATGGCCAGGCTTGGTATTCTGCTGTGCTTTGTACTTAAAAGTATGTGTTTTATCATGACAGGTGAGAGAAGCTGAACTTTAAAGGCTTACCTTGCTCTAGCAGGAGGCCTGCAGGAGGTTGCCCAACCTGACTCCAGCCCAGGCCATTATGCTGGTCCCCTCCCAAATTCTTAGTTTTACACATTTTCCTGTTCTGCAGGCTTGAAGTTATTAGCCATCCTCAGGAACATAACTTCCCAAAGGCCCTTAGAGCCTTGCCTGTGTGTCTTTGGTCCTCCCCAGGCAGGCCTGGCAGGTGGATGTTCTTGCTTTGAGCCCACACAGGTTTGTAGGATGCAGCAGAAGCTTTCTGGGGTGCTGGACTTGTCAGAGCCTGGCTTCACCCCCCTGCCTGAGCTGGGCTTTGCAGCAGCTTGGGTGATGCAGCCACTGGGTTGGGGGTGAGGGGACACATCACACAGGGCGGGGACAAACCAGCCCTACCCTGACACAATCAGCGTTTCTAAATGAGCTCTGGGCTAATCATCACGGCTCGTATTTCCATCCCCACCTGTCACCTATGTCAGCTCATGGGGACTCCAGAGGGCAGCTAAATGAGGAGAGCACTTTGGTATTACCGGGCAGCTGGAGCAGCAGCTGAGTGAGGGCATTACAGGGCTCCAAACACCTCCACTCTTGGCAGAGCTGCCCTGCAGGGGTGGGACACATCCCCTGGGATCGGGGTCTCCAGCAGCACGGCTTCCACGGGCTCTGCACTGCCTGGCCATCCATCCATCCATCCATCCATCCATCCATCCATCCATCCATCCATCCATCCATCCATCCATCCATCCATCCATCCATCCATCCA